AACTACTCGAAATTTACAAATAAACAATAAGAATAAACTAAAATCAAGTTAAATGCACGAATTATAATGTTTAAGCCAAATTTAACCTACAAAATTGCAGAAAGCACAATGAAAATCTTCAATGGAAAGAGATACTTTTTGATATTTGTTAGAATTAGGATATTAAGAATTAACCTAAACCTTCATAATTTAATTTAATTAAAAAATTTTATAATTAGGGAAATTAATTAAATGACAAATTTAAAAAGTATCAAAATACTTAACATGAAGCTCAATCCTAATGACGCAATGTCACGATATGCATATGGACTGAATGCATCAAGACCCATCACCATCATCACTCATCGAATACAATAAGCAATTTAAATCTTAACAGTAGATAACACTACTGGTAATGATGAACAGTATAAGATCCAATAAACGATTGGCCAAAAAACCCAAGTAATCAAATAGACGCCTCCATATACCCTCATCAATAATATACTGCAGAACAATAAAACGAAATTAAACTTGGTTTCTATAATATACTGCGATCTGGTTTATGATATCTCTAACATGAAACTACTTCCTATGTATACTTCAAAGAATCTAGTCCGTATAATATTCCGTCCGGTCAATTCACCCTGTCAGTCCAAGAGGCAAAAATGGTTATAGTTGGCAATTTTGACTCTTTCTAATTCATAAGAATTAGCTTTGAGAATGCGAATGTGGTTATTGGACATTTTACGTTCGCTATTCTTTGAATTAAGATGAAATGCTAGAAAAACATATATAACTAGAAAAAGTAAGAGAGAAAGTATATCTAACTAGAACTTATAACATAGCGACGAGAGATGACGACAATCATACCAACGGGTTCACACACAGTGCGAGATATCCCACACTCCCCAGACATAGATTTGATGACTCTCATGCAATGAACAACTCTGTGACTGTGACGTTTAGTCTCGTACTGTTAATTGCCTTAACTTACTGCTAATCTGGCATATTCGGAAATATCACACAGACCTATACCAAGTTCACGCTATCACCTTGCAATGTGTTAAATATAAAATACACCGGGTATGATATGAGGGCATCGGCAAAAATAAACTTCTTTAAAACTCTATCCAAGGCATGCTTTTCTAAATTATACATCGCTAAATGAAAAATGCGCAACATACTACGTCTCTACAATGCAAAGAAGCATTGACAGAATTCAAAAATTCCTCAAGCTTACGGCGATGATATGAACACTGCCCGCGCCGAAAACGTCCCCATCTCAAATTTTCTACCTTGTAAAGGACAAATCTTGCTGTTCGCGAGACCACGCACGAATGAACCCCCGAGAAACACAGCGACAACATAACAATGCACTTGCCGAACGGTAATCGTTTACTCTGCACTACCACTATACTTACGCTCACACGTTAACTACCATGTCTGAAGCAAAATATCCAAACAATTAAGACGATGCTAAACACCTTGCGCAAATCACGTGCCCATGTGATAGTAGCAGAGATAGTAAGGAAATGTTGGCATGTCACAATACCACCGCATGAAAACCGACTTGTGCAATCTAATATAGGCAACCTACCGAAAACCCGAGCACAAATTATACATGATAGCAACAGGGTCTATCACTCCTGAACAGAATAGTTACGCAGTACACTTCTACTGACATTCAACCTATGAACACTAGCTACTACCGACAACAAATTCATCCTTTTAGCAATATATTTTTCGCACTCCAATTTTTCCATTTGTGATATTTATACCTCCGCCAAAGTTGTCAGGAGTTATTTTCAACCCGGCGGTGTTCTGTTGATTGTGGGTTGGGTTTGTGGGTTTGGTTTGTTGGTACCACGCCGAAACGAATAAAGTTATGGAGGATGTCAAAATTTTCAGGATAGGTCAGAAATGCTAAACTAGAATGAGAGATTTGGTCGTGATCCAACCAATTAATATATTAATTAATTAAAACATTTTCAGGATAGGTCACAAATGGGTAACTAGCAATGATTACATTTTGGTGTGACCGGCACCAATTAATTAATTATTAATAATAAAATTCAAGGATGCAGAAATCGGAACTAGAATTGATTACATTGGTCGTCAACACGGCATCAATAATAATTAATTAATGAATTAATAAAATTTTTCACAGTCACAGAATTCAGCTGTCTTGGCGGAGGTCTGTGCTCTCCGAGTGCTCTAGTTATGTATAAAATTGTGCTGTGAAGAATAGAATCTGTACGGAGGAATGGCACATGCTGGGTAATTTGCCATGAATTTATTATTACAGTAATTAATTTAACTACTGCTCAATGGAGTTCAAGGCTATAATAACAGATATGTGATCCTGCATGTGCAATTTCAATCTATAGCTAATGAAAACAATTTGCGGGTTAGTGTTCTTTAACTTCAAAGAATTTTTAAAAGATTTGTAAAATTCAGCAACAAATCTAGGTTGAGTGAGCAGTGACGAAGAGCAACGAGTATTGAAGGGAAATTTTTCCACAGAAAATAAAAATTTCCAATATTCCCAACGTTTAGTTCAAGTTTTTCTACAACAGTTTTCAATAGTTAGGTGCGGACGAAAATAAACATAGAGATTCAATCACATCACTAATTGATCTATTCATTCCCCACAATTAAGCCAGACTGAAGACACTCTTGCACAACACACGCATAGATACCGGCACTATCCCGACCCCACTATGAATTTTAAAAGGATATAGCAGGCGTAAATATGAAAATAAAAAGCAGAATGAAAAAAGCCACCTGAAGGTCGTGGCAGGCGAGATTCCTGTATTACAAATTTAAAATGAACATTGCAAATTGAGTGATTGATATCGTAATATTACAGACACCTTCACAATACTATAAATTTACTCGTTTATCAGCGTATAATATTCAATATATTATATTATATTGCACATAGTAGAAATTCATGTCAAAACGAGACTTTAGACAACGTAATGTCATGAACTTAACTAGAACGTGCAAAACTATCCGACGTTAGCAGTGGATGCAAGACTTCTTCACAAAATGTTGGATACACGTAACGGGGGAGGATGTGACACCTACGCGCGTTCTAGCAGTTGGTTAAATATATAACAGATAATTTTCCATTCGTCGAATCGTACACGAGCCAGTGTAACGTTTCGAATTCACACCGTGCAAACCGACAGCTTGTGTACGTACGTACGTGCGCGCGTGCGGGCGGGCGGGTCTTCGTGCGTGCGTGTGTGTGCAAGAACACCAGCGTTTCTGTGCAAAACTTCGGAAACCGCTCAACATTTTAAGAACGGCGCCATCACCGATGTAGGTAACCAGACACTGCGAGCCCGAACATTCCTCACGCAACAAAACACTGGTTAGAAGGCGACGTCCTCTAATCCGACGTCCTCGATCGCTCCAAGCAGTAGACGCACAAACCGTTACATACCCAGGGGACATACGAACGAGGACGCGATATATATACCGCCCGTACGTGCGAACATCTTGCAATTAAATAGCATGCACGCCTATATGATTGCCCCCTCCCTCTGCGCATCCGATGTGAAATGCCCGCACAAGCACGAGATTTCACACTCCCTGATGCGCTCTCATCCCTACGGTGCACCACACACTGAAGGGGCATTCGAGTGCTCTAGCCGCGGTGTGAGTAGTGTATATAGACGTTTTTTTGCGATATGTTAAAGCGAAGACAACTATAGCATGAAAAACCCAACAACAGATTAGGCAACAGTATCTGTTCGCGCCGAAACAGTTATAAATCTGATTGTTACAGGTGGGTAGTCGCAGCATTTATCCCGAGACACTCTTTCATAAATTTTGATTCAGAAAAGAGAGGGAGAATCATGGAATGTCCTCACTTGTGGATAGCCTCCGTCTTAATTATGTACACGGTGACAATTACGACAATGCCCTTCAATAGACTTGAATGTAGTCTACTAAAATAAAGACCAAAGAGATGTCCAAAGAAATGATCGGCAATGGAAAAAGGAACCAATGAGCCGATGCTGCTGCTGTTGGAAACCTAAAATCTCAACTTACATCCGGATGTTATTTAAGATCAGACAGAAAATCAGCTGTCGTGTCGTAAAAGGTTAAGGGAAACCACCTAGATCGTGGAACCAAGCAATTATCGGTCATTAACACTTAAACTGGACATCACTGGTTAGAATTTACAACGAACACAGCTACGTACATACGAATAGCAGAAAGGAAATTTTCAATTGCGTCTCTAGCACCATCCCTTTAGTCCCCCTAGTATTCTTAGATACGAGAGCATTTACCCTGATAAATAATTCAGACAATAACACAGACTATATAGTCTATCACGTAACTTCCCACAACATCATAAAATAAAACTGAATAACCCGTAAAAATCACGATTAAAAATCTAAATATAGAGATATAACTAATATTTTTTTGAGGTCGCGTTGGGTGGGTAAAGTGTTGTATCATAACTTGCTTTACTCAAGACCTGTCATGGGAAGGTCAGAGGATATGGATAGATTTACAGTGTTGTGGTAGGGTTAACTGCCTCAGCCCGTTAGGTGAGTAGCTTTGCTAGATAAAAAGCCTGTTACAGAATCTGAAGCAACAGAGTTGCTGAGCAATTACGCTCTACACGGAGCTAGGACGAAGCACTCGAATTTCGAATTGCGCAATTTTACAGGTAAGTTGCCTAAATCGTTCGTTGTTAGGTTTTACATCAAAGGAACGCTCGATTAAACAGGGCACCGCTGAGGGGATCGGCTGCAGAAATGCACAAACTTCATTATATGACACTCATGATATGCACAACTCGGTGGTATTAGAAGCAAGTTCTCACAAACATTAATTATATGCAAGAGCCACCCTCTACGTTCCAAAATGAAACACCGACGAAAACTACTCCGTTGCGAACGACGAGCGAGAGTGATGCAGGGGGATGCGTCAGGTGCAGGTCTCCGCTCGGTAGCGCCACCTGTCGGGGGCGCATGCAGTGTGCAGAGAGAGGCGATTACCTTGGCAAGGAGTGCAAGTGGTGCGAGAGTTTTAGGCACTCCAGTATCTTCAGCCTACGCTGATTCGATAGCAACCGTTGCCATACAGAGACAGTCGAAGACAGACCGCTGAGAACCTATAAGCGTTTAGATGCCCAACAAAAAATATTCGGCGTGAATATTCTCCGGTCGTCGACGCGTCGCGTGTCCCCGTGACGCAGCGACGCCACGTCGGCCAGGGCAGGGCAGGGCAGGGCAGTGCAGGGCGGGATCTGGGGCGCCCTCTCGAATAGCTTGCCTCACTATGGTGTTGCACGTGGAAATACGTTTTATTGCGGGTCGGTCTGGCATGCAATGCATGCGCTCTCGCTCTCTCTCTCTCTCGTTACCATATATATA